TTGCAGGGTACCATGTCTACTTGCAGGGTAACATGTCTATTTGCAGGGTAACATGTCTATTTGCAGGGTAACATGTCTATTTGCAGGGTAACATGTCTACTTGCAGGGTAACATGTCTATTTGCAGGGTAACATGTCTATTTGCAGGGTAACATGTCTATTTGCAGGGTACCATGTCTACTTGCAGGGTACCATGTCTACTTGCAGGGTAACATGTCTATTTGCAGGGTACCATGTCTATTTGCAGGGTAACATGTCTACTTGCAGGGTACCATGTCTATTTGCAGGGTAACATGTCTACTTGCAGGGTAACATGTCTACTTGCAGGGTAACATGTCTACTTTACTGGGAGTTAGTCTACCATGTCTACTTGGAGGGTAGCATGTCTTTATAGGCCGTAGCATGTCTATTAGGTATAGAGTTCTTTGTCAAATAGGAGTGCCATGCCTAATGAAGTGCCATTAGTAATTAGAGCGCCATATTTAATGAGAGTGCCATGTATAATGAGAGGATCTTGTCTAATTAGAGTGCCATGTCTGATTAGTGTGCCATTTCTTATTACAGTGCCATGTCTAATGGGAGGCCATGCCTTGTCTAAAAATGAGAGAGCCATATCTAATGAGGTTCCATTGGTAATTAGAGTATCATATCTAATGAGTGTCATGTCTAATGAGAGGGCCATGTCTAATGAGAGGGCCATGTCCAATGAGAGTGTCATGTCTAATGAGAGTGTCATATCTAATGAGAATGTCCTGTCTAATGAGAGTGTCATGTCTAATGAGAGTGTCCTATCTAATGAGAATGGCATGTCTAATGAGAGTGCCATGTCCGATGAGAGTGCCATGTCTGATGAGAGTGACATAACATGTCTAATGAGAGTGCCAGGTCTAATGATAGTGCTATGTGTAATGAGAGTGCCATGTCTAATGAGAGTATCATGTCTAATGAGAGTGTCATGTCTGATGAGAGTGACATAACATGTCTAATGAGAGTGCCAGGTCTAATGAGAGTACCATGTGTAATGCGAGTGTCATGTCTAATGAGAGTGCTATGTGTAATGAGAGTGCCATGTCTAATGAGAGTATCATGTCTAATGAGAGTGCCATGTCTAATGAGAGTATCATGTCTAATGAGAGTGCCTTGTCTAATGAGAGTAGCATGTCTAATGAGAGTGTCATGTCTAATGAGAGTGTCATGTCTAATGAGAGTGTCATGTCTGATGAGAGTATCATGTCTGATGAGAGTGTCATGTCTGATGAGAGTGTCATGTCTGATGAGAGTGTCATGTCTGATGAGAGTGCCATGTCTAATGAGAGTGTCATGTTTCATGAGAGTGCCATGTCTAATGAGAGTGTCATGTCTGATGAGAGTGTCCTGTCTAATGAGAGTGCCATGTCTAATGAGAGTGCCGTGTCTAATGCCATGTCTAATGAGAGTGTCATGTCTAATGAGAGTGTCATGTCTAATGAGAGTGTCATGTCTAATGAAGGTGCCATATCTAATGTAAGTGTTATGCCTAATGAGAGTGTCATGTCTAATGAGAGTGTCATGTCTAATGAGAGTGTCATGTCTAACGAGATGCCATGTCTAATGAGAGTGCCATGTCTAATGACATTGCCATGTCTAACGAGCTGCCATGTTGCAGCATGCCCCGAGGAGATGTTCAACGAGCTCTGCAAGCAGCCTGTGTCCAAATACATCAAGACACTCAAAGAAATAAACATCGCCTTCCTCCCCTACGAGGGACAGGTCAGCCCCTCAGCCCCCTCCCTCATCACATTATGTGATTATATAATAATATTTACATACCGGTATCTATAATATATTGCTTTTATATTCCGTTTATTATGCCTCCATAGTGAGTATTAAATTTCCTAAGACCTTAATAACCTAATAACACTATAATCAATATAATATACGTATATAATATTTTATATATATATAATATAATAAGACTATTATTTATAATATAATAAGACTTTAATATAATAATAAATAATTTTCCAATAGTCTTGGGAGTTGGTGTCCTCCACTCATGTCTCCCTCTCCCCCAGATCTTCTCGCTGGACTCCCCTGAAGCGTTCCCCCAGATGTACAGCCCTCCCCGCAGCGGCACCCGCGGGGCCATCATGGAGCGTCTGGCCGAGCAGATCGCCACCCTCTGCGCCACCCTGGGGGAGTACCCCGCCATCAGGTGGGTGGGGGAGTAGTACCCCGCCATCAGGTGGGTGGGGAGTACCCCGCCATCAGGTGGGTGGGGAGTACCCCGCCATCAGGTGGGTGGGGGAGTATTACCCCGCCATCAGGTGGGTGGGGGAGTAGTACCCCGCCATCAGGTGGGTGGGGGAGTAGTACCCCGCCATCAGGAGGGTGGGGGAGTACCCCGCTGGTCATGCAAGGTCAGGTCATGCAAGGTCAGGTCATGCAAGGTCAGGTCATGCAAGGGCAGGTCATGCAAGGGCAGGTCATGCAAGGTCAGGTCATGCAAGGTCAGGTCATGCAAGGTCAGGTCATGCAAGGGCAGGTCATGCAAGGTCAGGTCACGCAAGGTCCTCCCTGAGCCCCCTCTTGTGCTCCTGGCACATGAAAGCAATTGTTTGTAATAATTAAATCAAAGTTTAATCTAAATTTCTCTCATGTTATGGACATTATAATGTAATTTCTTATTTTGCTTGTAATATTATCAAGTAACTACGTTTCATCTGCCTAATCTGTGATTATTCAAAGGGTATCATAATCAACTAAAGTAGAAATGCAGTGTTTATGACACTCGTAGAAGTAGCATGTCTCTGCTGTTACACCATGTTCTCAGCTGCTGCCTCCCTACCACCATGATGCTGGTTATGATGCCTTCACCATAACCACCACCTGCCCTACAGTTACTCCCCATAACATCAATATCCCACTGGTACTTCTCATAAGTAACTTATCACTTCAAGTGTCCCTCTCCATAAGTACCCGTTCCCTGCAGCTTTCCCAGCGTTATAATCACCACCCGCCTCGCAGGTACACCCCATAATAACCATTCCCCCGGCAACTAGTACCTACCATAACACCACCTGTTCCACAGGTACCGGCTGGAGTCGGAGCGCAACGCAGAGCTGGCCCAGCTGGTGCAGCAGAAGCTGGACGCGTACAAGGCAGACGAGCCCAGCATGGGCGTGGGGCCTGAGAAGGCCAGGAGCCAGCTGCTGCTGCTCGACCGCGGCTTTGACTGCGTGTCGCCCCTGCTGCACGAGCTCACCTTCCAGGTACTTAAGACCTAAAGATACACAATTGGTACTTCCAGGTACTTAGGACCTAAATATAACCAAATTGAATGTAGTCTAAATTTGTTTTTTTGAGAATGCTAAGCCAAGGCCATGCTGCAAGCACCACCCGTTGATGGACAAAGCCTCGCTCACAGGTGACACCGAGAAATGCATTGAGCTTCCCGAGGTTTGAACTCACGACTAGCTCCTTTCATCTCGGTGCCGCTAACACTGCGCTACAGCCTGCTACTTTTACTGCTGCTGCTTATGTCATTATTATTATGTGAAGTTCAGGACGTCTTCGTCCATGGTTGCAGTGATGCGTTGCCTTCTACGTCCTCCATCCCCAAGCCGTCGGTAGGCAGTCGCCGCGCCCTCGGGTCCAGGAGGTAACGTTTAGCATGATCTGTGCATGTGCCCTCATCTGAGCCAGCTGATAAAAGTAACAGTTGATTGCTACTTGGTGGGGGTTAAACCCAGGCGAACCCTTCGCCGGACAATCACCTCTCACCTCGCAGTAACAGTCGAGGACAGCAGGATCCTGGTCGCCCCATCTCCCCCTTTCGTGCCCTCGAGGAAGCCTTGCATCTTCGCCCCTACCGACCCACACTGGATCACCTGCGGTCTGGCTTTCGCAGCCACCTTGCATCTTAAGGCCTTTTACCACTATGAGACTCTGCGCGACTGACGCCTGAAAAACTGGCTTTTTCGGTCCAGACTGAGGCAGTCCTGACCATCGAGACTGGCGCGACGGCGAGTCAAGCGCCGTTTAATCGTGACTATGATTGAGCCGCGCCTGCATGCGGGAGTGTCGCTGTGACTACCGTCCAAGTAGGATGTGTGTTGCTGTCGCTCCAATATGCGCACTGAAGTGTCGCGCGCGGCAGAGCGGTAGCACAGATGGAAGTGAGTCTCGGTCCCAGCACAGGCGCGTAGTGGAAACGCGCACGCCAGTTGTGAGGCCCTGCCATGTGGCTTATTGGTCTCAGGCCAGTCTCTATCCTTCCCAATCAGTCCCGTAGTGGAAAAGGGAATTTACACATTTAGGTTAGGATGCTCCCCAAGCGCGGCTTCTCCTGCCCGTCCTTTTCCACGGACCTCCCCGTCTCCTCTCCGTGGGACAGCCTTCTCCAAGCTACAGACTTCCTGGCGTCCCTCCCGTCATTAGCCCACCTCCCTCCTCTCGCGGTCGCCCCTCAGCGCCCGCCTCCTACGACATGTACAAGTATGAGGCGAGCCTCCTACTCTTACTTGCTCCTACAGGCGAAGGCGTACGACCTGCTCGACATCAAGAATGACCTGTACACGTATGAGGCGTGCCTCCTACTCTTACTTGCTCCTACAGGCGATGGCGTACGACCTGCTCGACATCAATAACGTGTATAAGAATGAGGCTCGCCTCATACTCCTGTCTCTTATACACATCTAGATGTGTATAAGAGACAGCGTACGACCTGCTCGACATCAAGAATGACCTGTACACGTATGAGGCGAGCCTCCTACTCTTACTTGCTCCTACAGGCGATGGCGTACGACCTGCTCGACATCAAGAATGACCATGACCTGTACAAGTATGAGGCGAGCCTCCTACTCTTACTTGCTCCTACAGGCGATGGCGTACGACCTGCTCGACATCAAGAACGACGTGTACAAGTATGAGGCGAGTAAGGGTGAGGCAGAGAAGGAGGTCCTACTTGACGAGAACGACGACATCTGGGCAGAGAACCGCCACAAGCACATCGCTGTGGTGTCGCAGTACGTCACCACCAAGATGAAGGGTGAGCCCCACCACCATCATCACTGTCATCATCATCACTATCATTAGCATCATCACTGTCATCACCATCATCACTGGCATCACCATCATCACAGTCATTACCAACATCACAGTCATTACCAACATCAACATCTGTCATATAACCCGTTCTTGAGATAACTTTTTTGTGTTGTCAGCCATAAGTTTGTCCACTTCTGCCACTCTACGCTTCTCTGCCCACTGGCCGTAATTTTGTCCACTTCCTCTCCTCTAACATTCCTCTGTCCACCAGCCATAAGTTTGTCCACTTCCTCCTCTAACGTCCCTCTGTCCACCAGATTTCATGAAGGACAAGCGGCAGTTCACGACGGACAAGGCCTCCATGCGGGACCTCTCTCAGATGATCAAGAAGATGCCGCAGCACCAGAAGGAACTCAGCAAGTACTCTACGTACCTGAACCTGGCCGAGGCGTGCCTCAAGAACTACCAGGTACGTGGCCTCAGCAAGTACTCCACGTACCTGAACCTGGTGGGTGGAGTATGAAAAAACGTTAGTGAAGGTCGTTCATGAAACTACAAAAAATTAAATAAAGTTCCGTATCATGAAACAATTAGTGAATTTCGAAAAGATGTAGGGTGCCCAGTGGTTACAGTTCAGAGAACCATGATAGGAGTGAGTTGTGGGTTTGATCCCAACTACCTGCAACAGTTTCGGTCAAAATCGGTGTGATGACCGGTCAGTTAAGCTCAGCAAAATTGGAGCAGTGAGTTGCATGTTCGAGAACACAACAAGCTGTGAAAATACTTTGATGTTCAGCATTGGCGTCAGGTTTACTAGCCTAATCAACCCTAATGCCACAATCACTATTATATGTTTATACGTGCATGTTATTATATTATACGCGTGCGATTAACGACCAGAGAATAAATTGATTTAAATTATCAAAGAGTCGGACAATTCTTCAGATGACGTTGGTAGATCGAAAGGCAAATATCAAGAAGTAGTTTTAGTTTATTAACGACGTTTCGAATGTAACAAACATTCATTTTCAAGTTACAAAGAGCATTAAATATTGAAATTCTGGTGGAAATAAGTACATAATATATGTAAATAGGATACTATAGTAAAATTTTGAATCAAAAATCACTCTGAAAATCATTTCAAAGTTCAGCCAAATCCGGTAGTTAAGAATGAGATAGCAGGCGTCCAATTCGTAGAGACGATGCGGCTAGCCATCTTCGGTCGATTGATGTCAGGCCACTGCTTGATGACAATGGTGGTGGGTTCCTTCAGCACAAAGCGAGTGACGGTCTGGTTGTGAGATTGACGCATGTGGTTCCCTTGCCCTCCGGGTTGGAGGTAGCTAATGAGACAGCGTCTCGGTGTCTTGGTTGTTGATCCAAAGTGTCCGAAGTAGTCCATAAGATGAAGAAGTCTACAACCTTCTTTGAAGCAACATTTATAGAGTACAACGGCCTCTCGGACAACTCCCGAGTTTTTGCGAGGACCATTTTCGCGTTTAGTTCGGAGTTTGATGATGTTTTCACGAAGCCTGTTAAATTCATCGACAATTTTGAGATGAAGTTGCTTTGAGACCTGGTCTGGTTGTTAGCTTGGCTCAGGTGGTAGGAGAAACGGCTGTTCAATGTCACAATTGTTACCCCAATGACTCCAATATAATCCAAATAATGAAGAAGTCTACAACCTTCTTTGATGCAAAATTTATAGAATACATCTGGCCCTTGGAGAACTCTCGCTTCTTTGCATGTACCGTTGTCGCGTATATTCTCGGTTTTGTAGTTTTTAAGAGTGTCACGAAGCCTGTTGAATTCATCGATGATCTTGAGATGAAGTCGCTTCTTTGTAATACTTTGAGACCTAGTCTGGTTGTTAGCTTGTCTCAGATGGTAAGAGAAACGGTAGTTCAATGTCGTAGTCGTTACTGCAATTACCCGAATGCAATCCAAATAATGAAGAAGTCTACAACCTTCTTTGAAGCAAAATTTACAGATTACACCGGCTTCTTGGAGAACTTCCACTTTTTTGCATTTGCCATTGCTCGGTATGGTCCAGGGTTTGACGTTGTTGTCAAGGTTGTCTAAAATCTAAACTAAAACTACTTCTTGATATATGCCTTTCGATCTACCAACGTCATCTGAAGAATTGTCCGACTCTTTGATAATTTAAATCAATTTATTCTCTGGTCGTTAATCGCACGCGTATAAATCAACAAATTCTGCCATCTCAAACTAGTTATTATATTATTATACGTTTTATGTTATGTGATTATGTGTATGCAGGCTCACTAATATGTGGTGTGTTGCAGGGCTACGTGGACAAGCTGTGCAAGGTGGAGCAGGACCTGGCCATGGGCACTGATGCTGAGGGTGAGCCTGGATAGGAGCCCACACTATCCACTAGTGTGGATAGTGTGTATAGCATGACTAGTGTGTATAGCATGACTAGTGTGTAGAGTGTGACTTGTGTGTAGAGTGTGACTAGTGTGTATACTGTGTAGAGTAGAATGACTTGTGTGTATAGTGCCACTAGTAGAAGTAAAGTGACTAGTGTGTACACTGCCACTAGTAGAGTGACTGCAGTTTCCATACTGCCACTATCTTCTCCAGTTATCTTGTTACTACTGGTATCGGCTTCATTTTAATTATAAACTTTGCCTGCATCCCACACTTTCATACCACAGAATATTGTTTGCACCTTGCAAACAACTCCTCCCCTCTCCAGAGAGATGATATTTGACACACACCTCACCCCCTCCCAAGAGAATTAGTTGATATCAATAACAAACACCAAGTTAACGTATAAAAAGAAGATACAGTACAAACACGTAGAAAAAGTTAACGTATAAAAAGGAATACAATACAAGAACATATAAAAATTGACGTATAAAAAGGAATACAATACAAGAATGTAAAAAAATTGACATATAAAAAGCAATTCAATACAAACACGTTTAAAAAGAAAACAGAATTCAATACAATATAGTATAAAAAGTTGACGTATAAAAAGGAGATACAATACAAGAATGTATAATAAATTGACATATAAAAAGGAATACAATGTAATAGCATATTAAAAATTGACGTTTAAAAAGGGAGATACAATACATTAACGTATAAAATGTTAACGTATAAAAAGTTAACATATAAAAAGTTGATGTATAAAAAAGGAATACAATAAAATAACATATAAAAATTGACGTATAAAAAGGAACACGATGCAATAATGTATAAAAAATGACGTATATTAAACCTCCCCACCCCCCCCGCAGGCGAGAAGATCAAGGAGCACATGAAGGCGATCGTGCCGATCCTGCTGGACGGGGCGGTGGGCGACGAGGACAAGCTGCGCATCGTCCTGCTCTACATCCTCGCCAAGAACGGCATCAGCAGCGACAACCTCGAGAAGCTCATGCAGCACGCGCAGATACAGCAGGGGGAGCGTCGTTGCTGGGGGTCAACGTGGTGCCTGCGATAGGAGGGCGCTGCTGGGGGTCAACGTGGTGAATGAGGTAGGGGGGGCTGCTGGGGGTCAACGTGGTGCCTGAGGGGCAGGAATTGTAATGGCTCCCTAGTAAGTGTCAAGTAAATATTATTGTCAGCAAGTGTTAAGTATAATGAATAATCTAACGACCAACAGCTAACAGGTTCCCAACTGATCCCTGTCCCCCTCCCTCTGCTCAGAACAAGAAACGGCCGTACGTAATTATCAACTAATCAATTAATTCATCTGCCCCAGCCCTCCTACAATGTACCTTGTGCCTACCACGTACCAGGTCCCCCACCACGTGCCATGTTCCCCTCTACGTGCCTCCTCACTAACCCCCAACCCCGCAGAGCAAGAAGCGGCCTTGTGTTTCGTTCAACTTATTAGTTAATAGATACCGAGAAACACCAGCCACTTGGCAATTGACATATTTCACGTGGTACCATGAAGGACCTGGTTTCTCCCCACGTGTCCCCACTAACCCCTCTTCCCCCCGCAGAGCAAGAAGCGGCCGTACGTGGTGGCGCGCAAAGAGCGCATCACGGAGAACACCTACCAGATGTCCCGCTGGACGCCCGTCGTCAAGGACATCGTCGAGGACCTCATCGAGAACAAGCTCGAGGAGAAGCACTTCCCCTTCCTGGGGGGCCGCAGCGCTGCCATGACCCAAGCCGCCCCATCCAGGTGAGTCATGAAGGCCGCCATGACCCAGGCTGCCCCATCCAGGTGAGTCATGAAGGCCGCCATGACCCAGGTCGCCCCATCGAGGTGAGTCATGAGGGCCGCCATGTCCCAGGCCGCCCCTGAGGTCATGCTGGGTACGTGGGGTGCTGGGAGGTCATGCTGGGTACGTGGGGTGCTGGGAGGTCATGCTGGGTACGTGGGGTGCTGGGAGGTCATACTCGCTACGTAGGGCTGAGGTGATGTGATATCCTAGATCAAAATATGCTCAATGATCCTTCCCTCGCAGGATCGACACACATCCTGACGCCGAAGGATTTCCTGGTGAACCTCCGCGAGTTGAGCAGCACATGAAGAAGACACGACCCTCCTCCCCCCCTTGTCTGCTCCCCTCCCCCCATCCCACCCCCTCCTGCTCACCACCCACTCATCCATATGGTCGCCCACACACCACCACCACTACCACCACCATCGTCGTCTCCGCCATCAGCGCCTCCCACCACTGTGACTCGGGAGCCACCTGCAAGAAGGCTGTCGCTTCAGCAACGCTGGTTACTCTACCAACAGCAGCTGGCTGAAGAGTCTTCTCAGATGGCTTCAGCATCCAAAAGTGTCCCCATGCTCCCCAAGCGCCCAGCCCCACCTCCCCCTCGTCGGCGGGAGGCTCAACCCTCCTACAAAGACTGGATTGAAGAGCAGCAACAACATATCGCGGGACTTGCCCCGCCTCCTCATCCAACACCTGCCGAGGAAGCACAAGTTCCCCCTTGTATTGAGGAATCTGTTCTTGGCCCTCCTACTAAGGAGGAGGAGCTACACGCTGGCCACGCTTCTTCTGAGGTGGAGACTCCTCTAATGACGGGATCCCCCAGCCCTCTGGCCTCAAGCTCCGCCTCTTTCACTGAGGCAGAGACAGCGCCCGTCTCCGCCGTGTCCAAGTGGGTGGAGTTCTTCTCAGACGCCTTGCCTGGTGTCGGGGAGGCTGCTCAGGCACCAATGCCTGAACCATCTTCTCCTCCTCCGCTTATGCCTCCTCCTTCGCCTCCTTCCGCTTACCCCTCTCTTGCTCCTTTCTTGGACGTCTCTTCTCCCGTACATCTGCGTAGCTCCTCCTCTCCCCCCTCTTCCTCCGCCTCGTCTTCTGCCTCCTCCCACTACCTCTCTCTTCACGGCTCCTCCCAGCGCTTCATCCTCGAGTCCTGCAACAACAGCAGCAGCAGTGAAAGCGTTGAAGAACTCGACTCGCGGTTTGCCAAGTGCACGAAATATCCCGCGTTAGCTCCTGTTTCGTTAACCCCGTCCCCCGCACCCTCGGTCGCCCCGCCCTCTGTTGCTGCCCCGCCCTCGACCACGACGTACCCCTCCCTGGACGAGTTCATGGAGGCGGAGCTTCGTCACTCGTCGTCGAGCAACGGCTGGTGGAGCGCGTCACGTCACTCCACCGCATCCAGCGGCGCGCCATCGTCTGCCTCCCCCGCTGCAGGTGCACACTGCCCTCCCGGGCTCCTCACGAGACCTGACCATCAACTTGACATGTTCTTGTTTTAAGACGGAATTTTGAACTTGTTTTCTCTCAAAATGAATAGAGCCTTTAAGTAAAGTTGGGTTCGCACGCAAGCAAATTTAAGGTTTGTCTATTGTTTATTATATTAGGTTCAGGTTGCGCTTCTGAAGAAGCTTCTTGCTCCTCTGATATTTATACACTTTTTTTGAAGATATTGTTTTTATATAATATTATTCTAATGATACCGTAATTATAGTATTTTAGTGATGGTTTGATAACAATATTATCACTAACAACTCTTTTTTTTATGATATACATTCTCTCCACCTTGTCATTCACAACTTCAGCATTCGTCATCGCATGCGTTCTAATGAACCTGTTCCCCAAGGATTGGGTTCTGACAATGCGTCCCCCAACGGCGGGGGCGGGTCCTCCAACGGCGGGGGCGGGTCCAGCATCGGGGACAAGAGGGACGCGTCTGACGTGTTCGTGTCGGCGCGGTCCAGCAGGGCGACGTTGAGGGGACCCGCCCTCGTCTTCGTCCCCCCGCCCGTCTCGTCCTCGTCGTCTTCTTCCCCTCAGTTCATCGTCCCCGCTGTCCTCAAACGTCCCGCCCCTCCCCCTCCTAAGCGCGGGCCACGCCCCGCTTCCCGAAGCCCCGTCCGCAAGTCCGCTCCGCGGTCTACGGAGCGGCCGCTGCGCACCAAACGGGCTCCTCCTCCTCGTCCCCCACGTCCCCACCGCCCCAAGTCCTCCCCGCCCTCGTCACGTCTCCCCAAGAAACCCCCGGTGGCGGTGGTGAAATCGTCCTCGTCTCTCTCGTCCCTCGTGGTCATCTCGATGGTACCTAAGGCTCCTCCTCCTTCCCCCTCGCGCCCCTCGTCTCTGTCGGACGGCGTCGACGACGAAGGCTGCAGCGAGGATTTCTCGTCCTCGTCTTCTTCGTCGTACTCGTCGGGCAGCTGCTCGTCCCTATCGAGCTACACCAGCTCTGATGTGTCGTCTTCCCCCAGCCTCCCCATCATTGACATTATGCTCGCTCTCCTCCCCGTCTAAAGCCCCCAGCGCATTGATGTTCTGGGGGTGGGCGTTATGAATGGGCACAGCGCTGGGGTGGAATTTTGGCTGTCGAATTAAGAGGGGGTTGAAAAGTATTGTTTCTCGGTATGAAATTCGACTTAGAGGTTGCCGAGTATGGTTTTTCTGTATAAAATTCGACTTGAGGGTTGCCAAGTATGGTTTTTCGGTATCAAATCGACTTGGAGGTTGCCAATTATGGTTTCTCCGTATCAAATTCGACTTGAGGGTTGCCAAGTACGATTTCTCGATATCAAATTGAAAGTAAGCGGTTGCCAAGTTACATTTTTCGGTATAAAATCTCTTATTTTGGTGTTTGCAATTCCGATTTTTGTGGTTGCCATGTAGTATTTTTTACTCTTTTTGGCTTAAATTAACCAACAACGGAACACTTGCTTTAACAATAACACAAAACTGCGAAGAACCAAAACTTTTACACACCCTTCTCCCACACTCACTCCCCCTACTCCCCATCACTATCAAGAGCGGACGTTTGACTTGACATTAATATTGCTATTGCGGCTATTAATATTATTGTAATGTTAAGATCATTGAATATTATCTCTAGATAGTCGCGGTGCGTGTCTCTTCTAGTCGTGTTCGTGTGTGCGTGCGTCTCTTGTTATTCATCTTCCTACTAATTATTATAGTCGTGTTACGGACGGTGGGCAGGGGGGGGGGTACTAGGATCTTAGGCTGTTTATGGTGGTGATGGTTGATGGTATAGTGGTGGTGGTGACGATGGTTGATGGCGGGTGATGGTTGATTGTGGTTTATGGTTGGTGGATGGTGGTGGCTGATTGTTGGGTGGTGGTTTATGGTTGGTGGATGGTGGTGGTTGATTGTTGTGGTGGTGGTGATGGTTGGTGGATGGTGGTGGTTGATTGTTGGGTGGTGGTGATGGTTGATACTCTGGTAGTTGTGCTGGTGATGGATGGTTAATGATGTTGATGGTTGATTGTGGATGGTAGAGATGATGCTGGAGATGATGGTTGCTGATGGTAGTGGTGGTGGTGGAGGTTGGTGATGGTTGCAGCAAGTAACAGGTTGTGTGAGGTTATTTAACCCGCGGTGATGACGCGCGTTTCTCATCACCGCAGCGGCGCGTGTAGACGAGGTTGTATATCTTGTGTTATGTGTGAATAATTTGTCCTGCCTTGTATATTGCTGCGTTAAAATGTATGAAGAGCTTCAGGAAACATGTCAGGATCTCGGATATATTAGAGGCTCTTTGAAGTAATTGTTATTAAGTAGTTATTATAAAATATTATAGCGTTATATTTGTGTTATATTCGCGGTATGTTAACTTCAACGGCACTCATATTATGGCGTGGGTTACATTGTCCATCATGCACGGTATTGCCTTTATGCTTTATTGCTAATCATCGTAGTTGATGATGACAGTAATTATCGTTAATTATCGTAAATTAGCATCAGTTATCATTATATCAGAAGAGGAAGCCGTCATGAAGGTTATAGTTTTATTTATTATTATAAACTTAATTGAGAATACCTGGTGTGAAACGTAGTGTCGTGTCACTCAGAAATATAAATGAATCGCTTTGTTCAAATAGTGACACACTTTATAAACGTAGCACTGATACGACCTGTTGCCGGGCCCACACCGGGTAAGGATGACTCATGAAGGGCAAAAAACGTGCATCACTATTGGGACAAAGTGCATCACAAAAGTGCATCACCATTGGGACAAAGTGCATCACAAAAGTGCATCACCATTGGGACAAAGAGCATCACTATTGGGACAAAGTGCATCACAAAAGTGCATCACTATTGGGACAAAGCCTCGCTCATTGCTCTGAGTGTTGCGATGCTACCAAGCGTTATGAATGTTGCTGTTGTTATCATGTTGACGCGATGTCTACGTTGTAAATCTGTTGAATTCCGAATTGTTGAAGTAAAACTTAAGTTGACTTGTTGAAATAAAGCTTAAATTTTTGCGAATAACAGTGAGGTTGAAGGAAAAATGATGGGGTCATATTGTCGAAATAGTGACACGCTCGCGGCTCATAACACTGATATTCAACTTTGGGTCAGAATGATGTAGAATGTGCATCACTATTTGGACAAAGCCTCATTCATTTGTCTGATTGTGAGGGGGGGGGGGGTAAGCTAGTTCACCATTCCATTGTTAGTGAAGTTTATGTATTGTAGCAGCGTTACAATAAATAATGATTTTAGTCAAATAGGGTGCCTTGTTATTGTCCTTGTTACAAGTGTCATAAATTAAGTTAATAACATTTATTATTTACCTGGCACCTAGGGAGTAAAATATATCGTTCGAAATGGTATGATAACTTCATACAGCGTCTAAGGAATGAATAAATAAAATAAATATTTTATTTACTAAAAATGACTGAAATATAATGAATAATAAAATTGTTATTCTAAAATAAATAAATAAATGCTATATTACATGCATGTGTTTCTACCAGAGTGGCCACACTAAACGCTTACAGGCTGAAGCTGCCTCAAGCTTTTATTAAGGTGCCTGTACACAGGGATAGTACTAGCCGCTAGTTCATCCGGCGCTTGAACTGTCCACGCTACTAGCCTCGTGTATAGGGGTTCAGCCGCTTTTTGTCACCTGTCCCTCCTTGTCACCTGTCCCTCCTTGTCACTTGTCCCTCCTTGTCACTCCTTATCACTTCATCTCTCTGAGATGCTGACGCTGCTTCTTTCGAGCCAGCTTCAGCGGGCTGGACATCCGAGACCTTCCGACCCCTTGTGGCTGATGAATGATTTTTTACCTGAGGAACTTTTGATAATTGAGACCTGCCACCTCTTCGGTGACGTTCATCATGACTTTCGGTGCTAAATAGCTGGAGCGCTAGTAAACATGTGGCCTCTAAACTAAGCTAAACTCTGCATTACTCTAGACAAATATTTCGGCGCCGCAAGCCCGCAACGCACGTGCAGTGTCCTGGAAGCAGCCGTGAGAGGGGGATGTCGAAGCATGGCTCTCGTCAATTCAGGCGGCGAGTGCAATCTGCTCTCACCCACAGAACCACGACAGGACATGCATATATTCTATAAATGTAGACAAAATAATGAAGGAAAATCAAAAACAAGTTTATTTCAATTACTTCTTATACTAAAAACTTGCACATGAGCATCAAGTCAAGAACGTCAAAACTTTACCATAATAAAAACTCTTGTGTTGCCTGCAGCTTGATCATGGCGTAATATTGAAACAAATGAACTGTTATGTAACAACTGAACGGTTATATAATGCAATGGCAGGTGAACTATCAGGGTGGGGGGCAGGGTGGCCCAGTGGCTGCAGTTCAGAGTACCAAAACTGGAGCAGAAAGTTGTGGGTTCGATTCCAGCTACCTGTGACAGTTCTGGTCAAATCGGCGAGGTGGCCGCGCGGTTAAGCTCAGCAGTAGTGGAGCAGTGAGTTGCATGTTCGAGACCCATAACAAGCTGTGCAAATTCTGCGATGATGACAATCGATGACAAGTCTATCGGCCTAGTCAACGCTCACACCGCTACGCTTATTCTAACGCAGTACAAGATATTTAGAGGTCGCTTATGGCAGCTGCGGTTATGCGGCGCTATTGCAACCTGGTCGTCAGCGGCTACACCACGTTGCATATAACCCGTTCAGGATTAACAATACGACTGGGCCCTTGATCGTTAGAACAACCGTTTGGTTGCAAGTTTTTGATACTTCGGTGATACATTACGAATATATAAATTATAACCGCTGATTTACAGCCTATAGGAACTGATTCGGAAAAATGGAGACTGGCCTGAGACCAATAAGCCTCATGGCAGGGCCTCACAACTGGCGTGCGCGTTTCCACTACGCGCCTGTGCTGGGATCGAGACTGACTTCCATCTGGGCTAACACTCGCAGCATATTGGAGCGACAGCAAACGCACAACCTACTTGGACGGTAGTCACAGCGACACTCCCGCATGCATGCCGCAGCATACGGCGTGCAACAGCGTTTCAATACTCGTTGCGCCAGTCTCGATGGTCCGGACTGCCTCAGTCTGGACTGAAAAAGCCAGTTTTTCAGGCAGAGTCTCGTTGTGGAAAAGGGCCTTCACCTCATATAAAACAGACAGGTTAAATGGAAATAAACCATGTATTCATGTGAAGCAGGTTAAGTTGAGAGACGCATCATAAATTCATATAGAATAAATTGTTCAATTGTAGATATCCAATTTGCATTGCTAAGGTTAACGGCCTGAGTAAACGTGAGTGCAATGTTTTATGTCAACACGTTGAGTGAGGCTGTCATATGCAGGGAGTAACGCACACCGGCAGCATTACCCACACGTACTAAACTCAATGAGTTCTAGCCACATACCGCTGAAGACTCGTATGAGTCGCAAAATTTATTTTAAATATGAAGAGAGTGAATACATGACTACATGACATGGAGATGGAGATCGACCGACATAATTTGGTTGTTATTGTCCTTTAATATTTGATAAGAATCGATTGAACACGTTAGCACTACTTACAATGATTATTGATAGCAAAAAATCAATTTATATATAAATTTCGTGCATGAAGTTTATTACCTTAAGTAATGTCTATCATTATTGATTATAAATATGACTAATGTTATAATATTTTATGTATCGGTAACTAAAACTCATTTTTTGACATGTGCCACAATGTATTTAAACTCATTTTTATATATCACTGTGCTAAATAAATCTCCTAAATAACAGACAATAATCAGCCAATTGTAAATTTGACTTAGCTAATGACTAATTTCCCGCTATTGTATGTTCCGTTAAGTTTTACAAGATTCAACAGTGAACGCATCGCTCCACCCCTAACTTACTTCAGTTATGCATTGCAAGATGCAGCGACGTCAATGGGCTGGTTCTTTTTTTAATATAATTCATAAATATTGAGGGGAGACAATCCTATTTTCAAAGGAGCTGATGACTGGATAGATTAAATTATGTACCATATATTACAGTACAGGATTTTTTTATATTTTGCCGATTTACAATGTTGATGTGTTCCATTTCACTCCATAAGCCAAACTTGTGCACAAATATAAATATTTTTCTTAATTAAATAATTTAATTGTAAGTTTCATGCAACAAGTGATCACGAATTCCAAGCATTAATTATCTCTGATTAAAAGGCTTACGAATAATTAAATAAAATACTTAAAAAAACACGTTTTTCTTGTGGACTAAAAAGTAGAAAATAAATTATGGCCCGCCCCAAAAAACGTGCGTCGGGCAGATTTATGATTAAAGCGAAAAGCAACAAACGAATTTTGGAAATTTGATGGTGAACGTACAGCCCGACCCACGCTTTTTGGGGCGAGCCATAATTTATTATCTACTTTTTAGTCCAAAAGAAAAACGTGTTTTTTAAAAAAGTTTTTTAAGTATTTTATTTTCTCCTTTTAGTCCGTTACTACACATGAAAAACGTGGTTCTATACGTACTTGACGTACGTATCGATGATACGCAGCGTCAGCGCCTGCTCGTCTATAACGTCAGCGCCCGCACGTCATACTATATATATACTATATATTTATACTTTACTGAATTAAGCTAATTTAGAAGTCGAATTGCTAGTTTTTATGATTGTATCTAAAATTGTTAGGCGAAAATAGCCTACATGCCGAATTTTAGATCTCTAGAGCAATCAGAAGTGGGCTAATTTTCGTTGTCAATGTTAACAACAAACAAACAAACAAACAAACGCGAAGCTAAGTTAAGAAAAACGTGTTAAAAAATATGTAATAAGACGAGAAATATCCTAGAGGAA